TACGCGTGAGCATGCCACGGGCCAGTGTGCAATAGCACATGCGGAGTGTGTGTGATGGCACGCGTGTGAGCGTGCGCCATGTGCTAGTGTGCAATAGCACATGTGTGAGCGTGCGACAGACCAGCGTGCAATAGCGCACGTGGAGTGCGTGTGAGTGTGCACCACGCACTAGTGTGCAATAGCGCACGTGGAGTGCATGTGAGTGTGCACCATGTGCTAGTGTGCAGTGGCACGCCTGTGAGCACGTGAGCATGCACCACGTGCTAGCATGCAATAGTACACATGTGAGTGTGCAACAGGCCAGTGTGCGATAGTGCATGTCAAATGCATGTGAGTGTGCACCACGTGCTAGCATGCAATGGCACACATGTGAGCATGCGACAGGCCAGTGTGCGATAGCACACATGGAGCGTGTGTGAGTGTGCAACACAGGTTGGTGTGCAACAGCACACATGTGAGCACACATGAGTGTGCGCCATGTGCTAGTGTACAATGGCATGCATGTGAGCGTGCAACATGCCAGTGTGTGATAGTGCACACATGGAGCGTGAGTGTGCACCATGTGTTAGCGTGCAATGACATTTGTGTGAGTGTGCAACATGCCCTACTGTGCAATGAGTCGTGTAAGAGCGTGTGTGTGCCCCATAGGCCAACATGCAATGACGCATGTGCGTGCACCATGGGCTGGTGTGTGATGGCACATGTGTGCGACAGCACACATATGTGAGCATGTGTGCACCACGGGTTGGTGTGCAATGGCACACATGTGAGTGACAGGCACCCACATGTGTGCCACAGGCTGGTGTGCAGCTGCACACATGCATGTGCGTGTGCAAGAGGTTGGTGTGCAATCGCTGTTGCGTACAAGTGTGTGAATGCATGCGTGCAAGAGGCTGGCAGGGAGTCACGAGTGTGCGAGCGCACCTACAAGGGGGTGTGCAAGGGCACACCTGCGCTCTGCGCGCAGCACCCTGTGTGCAGCCACACATGCGTGCGCATGCACCCGTGTGACGGGCTGGCACGCGGTTGCACACGCGTGTGAGTACGCCGGCCGGCAGGCAGCACGTGTGTGCGTGCATGCACGAGGGGCCGGCCTGCCCTCGCACACATGCACACACGCGTGTGCACGACACACGCGTGTGTGCCCCCCCCGCCCCAGCCGGCTGGCAGCACTTGTTTGTGCAATTGCACACGC